TAAGTCACAGACAATCCCACACCAGTTTGGAATTATGATTAATAGAATGGTTATTTATTCAAAGGGGAAAAAACTTACAGATTACCGTCCCAGACAACAGCCCCTCTGTGCGAACAGGAAAGGAGTCCAGGAGCCGGAAGCGGAGCCGGAAGCCAGAGAGGGAGAGGAGGACAACTGCTGCTTTTTTTAAAGAGAGAGAGACCATGCCCCAATGGGCTGGTAACTCAGCGGCGATTGGCTGAAGGAGCGGAAGGAGCTCCCACAGCAGATTTATAGGAGGCTGTACTTTAGTATAGAAGCTTCAAGTTTTTATAAAAGTCATATGAATGCTAAGAATTTATTGAATAAATTAAAGCATTTTCATTTCTTTTTGTGAAATAATGAGATATTTCATTTCACTTGGAAATCAGATTCTTCTTGATAAATCTGTGGCTTTTCTGTGTGTGTGCTCGCGTGTTAAGAGGGAGACAGAGGTGGATGAGAGAAGGGAGAGTGTGACCCGTGCTGTGGTGCTGTGGTGCTGTGGTTCTGTGGGACTGTGGTGCTGTGCTGGCTCCTTGTAATCACAAAGGAAAAGCATTCTAAATATGTTTATTATTTAAACATATTTAAATAAATAAATTTATTTATTTAATAAATTTTTAAATTTATTAAAAATTATATTTTTAAACATATTTAAATAAAAACTCTTTATTTTTATATATTTTTAAATTTATTTTTATTCTTTTCTCATCTGTTACATCTGATTGCAACCCCCCCCTTCACCTCCCTCTTCCCTCTCTCTCAGATCCTTCCTCCCTCCATCTCCCCTCAGAAAAGAGCAGGCCTCCTAGGGACATCAGCCAAACATGGCATCATACGCTACTCTGAGACCAGGCACATACTATCAGATCAAGGCTGGATGAGGCACCCAGTAGGAGGAAAGGGGTCCCATAAGTAGACAAAAGAGTCCGGTACTGCCTACGCTCCTGCTGTTAGGAGTCCCACAAGAACACCAGCCTACTCAGCCATAACATATGTCCAGAGGACCTAGGTCAGACCTTACAGGCTCCCTGCTTGCTGAGAGCCCCCATGAGTCAGCTGATCCTGTGGGCTGTGTTCTCGTGTTGTCCTTGTCCCCTTTAGTTCCTCTGATCCTTCCCCCCCTTCTGCAGGACTCCCCGAGTTGGCCTAAGGTTTGACGGTGGGTCTCTGCATCTGCTCCTGTCACTTGCTGGATGAAGCCTGGTCTCTTTGTTGAGGAGTCTGCTAGGCTGAGGTCCTAGAACACTCTGCAGGCAGTGGAAGCTGTAGGTTTGTAGCTGGGTTGGGGTCCCAATTCCTCCACTTGAGGCCTTGTTTGGTTACAGAAGCTGGCCGGCTGGTTCAGGCTCCATGTCCCTCACTACCAGAGGTCTTTGCTAGGGTCACTCTTTTAGTGTCCTTTGTACTAGGTATTACGTCGCCCCTGAAATGGGCATGATTCCCTTTACTTCACAGTTGGCACCCACTTACAAGTGAGTACATGCCATGTTTGTCTTTCTGGGTCTGGTTACCTCACTCCGGAGGATTTTTCAAGTTCCAGCCATTTGCCTGCAAATTTCATGATATCATTTTTTTTTCTACTGAGTAATACTCCATTGTGTAAATGCATCACATTTTCCTTATCCATTCTTCAGTTGAGGGACATCTAGGTTGTTTCCAGGTTCAGGCTAGTATAAAGCTGCTATGAACATAGTTGAGCAAGTGTCCTTGTGGTAGGATGGAACATCCTTTGGGTATATGCCCAGGAGTGGTATAGCTGAGTCTTGAGGTAGATTGATTCCCAATTTTCTGAGAAACTGCCATATTGATTTCCAAAGTGGCTGAACAAGTTTGCACTTGCACCCGCAGTGGAGGAGGTTCCCCTCTCCGCATCCTCTCCAGCGTGAGCTGTCGCTTGTGCTTTTGCTCTTAGCCATTCTGACAGGTGTGAGGTGGAATTTCAAAGTTGTTTTGATTTTCATTTCCCTGATGGCTAAGGATGTTGAACATTAATTGAAACAATTAAGTTTCTCAGCCATTTGAGTTTCCTCTGTTGAGAATTCTATGTTTAAATCTGTACCCCATTTTTAAATTGGATTATTTTTTTTCTTGATTGCTTCCTTCTTTATTCTTCCTTCTTTCATGTTCTTTCTTTGTTCTTTCTACTGTATACTTTTTTTTCTATAGAATGTATACTCCAGCAAAGTCTTTCAGGCAATATAAGAATTACAATGTGGTTACATTATGTTTTTTAAGTGAATGATTATAATGAATACAAAACAAACAGTAATTGGATTATGTAGTTTGTTGGTGTCTAGTTTATTGACTTCTTTTTTTTTTAAAGATTTATTTATTTGTTAAGCATACAATGTACTACTGGCAAGGAAGGTGCCAGGTCTCATTACAGATGGTTGTGAGCCACCACATGGTTACTGGGAATTGAACTCAGGACCTCTGGAAGAGCAGCCAGTGCTCTTACCTTCTGAGCCATCTCTCCAGCCCCTAGTTTCTTGACTTCTTTATATATTTTGGATATTAGCCGTCCGTCAGATGTGGAGTTGCTGACGATCTTTTCCCATTCTGTGACTGCCTTTTTTTCCTATTGATGCTGTCCTTTGCCTTACAGAAACTTTTTAGTTTCGTGAAGTCCCATTTATTAATTGTTGATTTTAGTGCCCATGTTATTGGTGTTTAAAAAAACCCAAAAAACCAAAAAAGCCCGTGAATCATGTTACGAAGCACTTCACAAAGTGCTTTTCCTTATGTGACAATTCCCGCTGTGGCACTGTCCTCAGCAGCTGATGAAAAAGCACTTGGATTCTGCCCGCATTGTTTTCAGGCTGTGTCTAACTAAACGGTCTCACAGAGTAAATACGACTTTTATTGGGCAATAAGAATTCTGACGGGCAAAGCACTTTTACCCTGTTTTTCAACGCTGCAAAAACTATTTTATCGATCTTTCAGTGCAGTGTTTAGGGAAGAGGAAGATCAGGGTCTGAAGACACTGTGTGTGGAGCTGTGGCTCTCAGTGAGCTGGCTGGCGGCAGGCAGAGTCCCTGTGAGGACAGGAGATGGGGCCCAGGATGCATTAGGAGGCTGTCTGGGAGAGTGTGGGAACCTGCCTCCTGGCCTTGTGGGCTCCTTGTGATGCTTGACTTAGTGTCCCGCGCTACCGTCTCGCCAGCAAGAACCACGCGGTACACATAGGATACTTCTGCAGTAAAGCTTTAATGCCCCTTGGGAGAGCGGGCATCAGCCAACATGGCGGAGACCCAGATAAGATGGAACCCATCCCTTATATAGGAAACAGACCCTGCTTTGGACGTGTCACTCTTTGATTGGTTCACTGCTCCCAGTCCCAGGTGATGCCTCGGGAGTAGGCGGGGACTCAGTGGGAAATTACCGAGCACATGTGCGTTCACCTGGCGGTGAAGCCGGATGTCAGCGCCATCTTGATAATGGAGAATGTGGCTGCGGCCTTCTACAACTTAGGATTAATACTCCGTTGTTCTCCACCTTGTTTAGGTCACCTTTGCACAGTACTCCAATGTCGTCGTTTTTGGTGTGCCCCAGATGGTGAGTATGCACCCCGTCCTCTGTGGCTCTCACGAGGCAGTGATGGCCTCCAAAGCTTTGAGGGAACCCTGGTTTAATGAACTACTAAGGACTTTACAAGTGTAGTTATCAAAGATTCAGCCGCATTTGAAAATTTTAGTTTCAGAGAAAAAGTTCTCAATGCTCCACCAAAGCCTTCCCAATCCCAGGTTGGAAACTGCTTTATGAGGCCCCAGCATTGAGTGAAGTTGGTGATTTTCACGGCTGCTCGCTTACACCCGCTGCTGTCACTTGGGGAAGTTAATGGAATGTTCCCTTTGAATTGACCGTTCTTCAGTTTTTCTGGAGATAATTTTAAGGGTGGATGAGCAGTGACTGGTTTCAGTTTCCTCCCATTCACAGATTTGCTAAAGAGCTGAGTATTGAACTTTAATTATGTACTTTCAAAGTGAGAACGCCACATTATTGTACTGAAAATGGGTGTTTCTAGCCCTTGCAGAGATGCTCACGGTAGGATGCTTCACTGCCATTGCTGGTTTGGAGACCAGACAAATCAATCCCCTTTACTTCGCAAAGTCTGTAATTGTAGTCATAATAGCCTTGGCAGGATTGGATGGTTGCTGAATTGGCACTGTATAACTAACAGGGTTTTACATTTAAAATAAAAAGGAAATTTCATTTTTGTTCTTTTGATTTCTTATTTATGCCTTAGATTTTTATTGTTGTTTTTTGAGCTGGAGTATCACTGTGTATGTAGCCCTGGCTGGCTGGCCTGAAAATTGCTGTGTACTCAGGCTGGCTTTCAGCCTGCAGCCTCCGATTCCCAAGAGTCTGGGTTATGGACACGTGCCGCCAGGCCCAGGTCTGCCTGGGACTTTTATACACAGTGTTTAACTGCATGAGAAACTGACCCCCACACTGGAGCTTTCAGTGTAACGGCACATTCTTCTTACAAACCAGAAGTGTCGGTTTTACAAAAGTGACTGTATATCCATAGTATGTCTGCTATGGGACCCGTATTAACTGTGCCTTTGTTCTGAAAGTGAAGGCAGGTGTGAGATCTTGGTCCCTGCTCATTTAAAGCTTGCTCGGGTCTGGCCTGGGCTCACACCTGTACTCCCAGCACTCAGGAGGCCAAGGGAGGAGGGTTATTGTAAGTCTGAGGCCAGCCTGGGTTACAGAATAAGGCCCTGTCTCAATTCTCCCCACCTCACAAATAAAAATAATTTGGGATCATAGACTAGATAGAGAATTTTGATGATGGCTTACTTCTTATGATGTGTGGGCTTTCCTTCTAAGATGTAACCGTTAGCGTTTTGGAGACAAGTAACTTTAATGTAGAAAGTAGACAAGGGTATTTACTGGGAATTCTGTGCTGTCTGGAGAGAGGAAGTTAAGCTGAGAGGTGGGTTCTGAGGTTCTGCTTCCGAGTCCCAGCTGGGGGCAGCAGTGGCCTTTGCAGTGCCGAGTGGAGGCTGCTCTGCCGCCAGGCAGGCTTGGTTTGCACTGTTTTGGGCTGTTTCCTCAGGGGCAGTATGGGTCTTGTTATTTTGAAAAACATATTTGCGATTATTGCTTATTCTCCTGAACACAGACAAATCTTAACCAAGGAATCCCAGCATTTCACTGTTTCTAGGGAAAAGAGGAGCAATGGGAATCCACAGAGCATTCTTGTTCCTTAAAAAAGATCCTGCCAGCCCGTGTTCTGCGCACAGTGGGTTGGCGGGTGCTCATTTGGCATCTGTTAAGCTGGAGTGTCACGTGTGGGATCCCCACTTTCAGCCGGCATCAAATTCTGATCAACTGGAAGTAGCGAAGGGCAGGGCAGAACGCTGGCTGGGAAGCTGATAGTTGTGTGGCCCTGGGAAGGTCCCGTACCTGACTGTGTAAGGATGTTATTGAATTGCACACCAATCAGTACTCCTGGCATGGGCTGATGGCCTTCCAGAACCAACATATCATGAGAAGCATCTCAGGGTAGCTAATGCACAGCGGGCTCCTGGAGAGCCAGGAGGAGCCGCAGGGAATGTGGAGGAGGACAGCCAGCGTTGGAACTCCTCAGCCCTGCTTTTGACACCAACTGGATTATTTCTGATAGCACAGTGCAGTTGTAAGTAGAAATTAGATCTAACACTTCGATATAAAGTATGTGTCAAGTATGGTGAGGAGTCCCATGTGGACCTGGTGAACACACTACGAAAGTGCCAAATGCTCTATTTAGCGTGAATTTATGCACCAAGAGGTGCTTTTCAAAATGTGAAAAGAGCAGGTTAATTTGGTCTTTGTTTAAAACCCTCTGTGAGGCTGCATACGTAGCTCAGGTGGGAAGAGTGTTTGTCTACTGTGCATGAATCCCTGGGTTCGATCCCCAGTACTCCTGAGCCAGATGTGCTGGTGCATGCTGTGGTTCTTGCTCTTGGGAGGCAGAGGCACAATATCAGGAGTTCAAGGTCGTCCGTGGCTGTGCAGCCTGTTCGAGGTCAGCCTGGATTACATGAGGCCTTGTCTCAAACAAGCACCCCGAAAACCCCAAACATCAAACACTAAACCCTCTGTGACTCCTTGCTAATTTAGGGAAAATGTCCAAATATGCCATAGGACCCAGATTGGCCTGGAGTGGCCCTTACCCACTTGTTTCTTAGTTCTTTTTTTTTAGTTTTCTGTACAACTCTTCACTTTGTCAGTCCCTGGACTTGGCTATGCTGCTCCTCAGAGCCTGCGCCGTCCATTCTTGTTGACGTCAGACCCACTCCGCACTGGACTTAATGAACACCTGCCCTTTCCTCTGTGAAGCTGTCCTCAGTGGTCCCACGAAGTGGGCCTTAGTGCTCCTTACCTTCTGCTCTGTCGCAGTCAGTAAATACTGTATGCTGTGCACCTCTGTGCCTGCAGGCTTTGCTCATGCAGTAGGTATGGCTGCTGCACAGGATATAGGTCTCTTTATCTCTTAACTACATAAGTGAGCAACAAAACGTGAATGTTGTATGGTACCTTGTCTTTGCTCTAGAGGTGGCGGGACCTGGGAGAATGGAGCCAATGACTGAGGCAGACTAAAGTCGCATGCAATAGCTAACTCTATTCAGAGCCTCAGACAGTTTATGCTTTGAGGGTTAAGAAAGCTCACAGGAGTAAAGTTCTCATGTGCACAAGCTGTCTACAAGCCACATGTGGCAAAAACACATTTTCCATAGAGTCATAGAAAGGATAGTTTAAACGTTTAATTCAGTAACCGCAAGCAATAATGAGTAATCTGAAGTAGACACCCTCCTACCACTACACCTGGGAGCAGCACACAGCCTGAGAACAATTCCGTGTTTTAAGGGAACTGAGGTCACAAGACCCTTGTCTTGTTTTCTTGGAGTGTTCTCACAAATGCACTCCAAGCTCTTCTCACACGACTCCATTCTTGGACTGCGTTCTGTCAGTGGAAAGATTATATGTTAAATGAGACATCTACAGAGAAGATGCCGTATCCTAGAGGAGAATCCCGTCTGCGTCTGTGGGGTTATCGAGGACAGGGAAGGAGTGGGGCTGGGTCAGTATCCCTGGAAGGATGCCCTCCACGGGTAGTCATTCAGGCTGACGACCTGCAGTTGCACAGCGCAGATTGGTGTGTGCACCTGTTGGCTGGAGAGCACTAAGCAAGTGCAGGTGATGAGGGTGATGTCAGTTTGAGAGGGGTCAGGGAATAGGACCAGCACATGAAGGATGCTGGTCCTTCTAAGGGAAGGAGCTGTTGAGGGTAAGAGGAGAGCATAGAGACTGGTTAGGCGGACAGAGACCACCACTGCATGGAGGTCAGACCCAGACATTAGAGATTGGGAGGCAGTTATGTGCTTCTATTGGGTGTCCAGGTGACAGACTGAGGCGCAGTCTAGTGTAGGTTAGCTGGTGAGAAGGCGTCTAATTCTAGCTGCACTACAGAGAGAAACTCAGCAGTAGTGGGCATCTCCAGCACCGGTGAGAGACAGAGGAGTCCAGGCCAGCTGCTTCTTGTCTTCTGCTCCTGGATGTGTGGGTTGCCAGGAGCTGAGCTGGGAGAGAACAGGCAGAGCCGTCTGTGGCAGCTCTCTGTGTGCTCCTGAAGTCACACTGACAGTCTTGGGTAAGGAAAAGTCTGGAGCTCAGGAGCACTCCCTGACTGCACAACCATGGGCAGGTCCAGGAAGCAGGCAGGTCGCAGGGAGGATCTGCCCAAGGCCTGAGCTTTATCTGGTGAGACATAATCAGCCAAGACTTCGGGAGATCCTCAGTAAGGATGTCATCACCCTGGGAACCAAGTGGAGGAGGAAGGAGGCTGCTGGGTCGTGGGTCAGCACTGTCAGCCACAGGTCTGTCTTATGCCGTTAGCTGATTCAAGGCATGCCTCAAATTCTGAAGATGTGATTAGAATATGATAAGTTTGTGTCACTTTGAAACCCATAATGATATGAATAATTTTGAATTCTATTAGACAGGCATGACACATCACTACTCTTCGTGTGTGATATCAGAACAGATTTGATGCATATTTATGTGTAATTTAGTCAGTTAATTTCTTAGGATTGAAATAGCTTCTTTCAGTTTTAGGTTTATCTTGACTTAGCATATGACAGTCACTCTGAAATAAAAGAAACTATGAGAGAGAAAAGAATAGGAATGTGAATACATTTACAATTATCTTTTTATGAACAAAATTACCATAAGAAACCTGATATTTTGAAAAATGCATGTTGTCTTATTTTTTGCTTATTTAATTCTTCCCTCAAGGAATAATTTCTCCCCCTCCCCCTTTTTTTTGTAATTCTTGACTAGCCATTAGAAGAATAGATATCTTTTCTCCTTAATGGAATTTATTCTCCATTATCAATTCTATTGATGCATTAAAATTTTGACTTATCCCATCCATATCATTTTTTTTCTAAGTCATTTTTGTAAGATGCTGGTCAAGAATAAAACCTTCACAAGAGCCCTGCTGGTTTCTCTATCTTGCTGTAGTTACTTTTAGAGGGAGTAGTTTTTGCTTAGATCTTCATTTCTAA